CATTACTTAGCAGCTCTGCTAAGATCTTAGAGAAGATTGCACTCAAATAGTGGTTAATACCTTTACTTCAGAAAAAATTTAATCCGTTTCAATTTGCTTACGTTCCGGGCCCTTATAAAGGCACAACTAACTCTTACAATAATGGTTCTTTGGACTTTAAACAAACTCATATCTTCAGGTGGTTATATTCGATGTATTAGTATCAATTTTAAAAAGCATTCACTAAAACCTCTCATCTTGTTGCCCTTCTTACAGCTAAAAATGATTTCAACTTACCGAACTCTGTTACAACTTGGATTAAATCCTATTTTGGTTATCGATTTCAAAAAGTCATTGTTTCTGGTGTCTCTCCAGACTCCATCTTTTGGACCAATATAACAAGTGATCAGGTCTTGGTCCATTTTTTTTTGCTATGGTAGTTAACGAAATGTCGGTACTTGATAATTCAAGAAGTCTGTTAAACTTGTAAGCCGACGACACCACGCTATTACATTATGTTGGCCGTAAAAACATCGATAACACACAGAAAGAAGTGAATAATTTGCTAAGTTAGTCACTACGTGCAAAAATGCATGTCAATAATGAAAAAACTCAATTGATTGATTTTTCTTTAGAGGGTGAAAAAGGGTTGCCAATAACTGTCGCTGGCAGTAAGTTAGAAACTCAGTCCACTATTAAACTTCTTTAGGTGATTTTACAAAATGACCTTAAATGGGACTCTCACTTCATCAGAAATTTTGCGCCGGAATGTCGGCTATTCATCGCCTGGTATTATATGGTATTCCTAATGATTTAACATGGAAAACATATCTTGCATTAGTCTTTTTGCATATGGCTTACGCTTGGCCTGCGTTCTGTGATATCTCTCGAACTCAACTCATGAAACTATCTTCCATAGAAAAACGCGCTTCTGTTTTATGCAACAAACGCCCATGTTCCAATCAACATGCAAAACGTCTTGAAGGTATTTGCCTCAGATTAATAAAAAAAGTTGCCACATTGTCTAATTATCCTTTTAGATCGTTATTTTCAGTCAGAACTATTGTTATAAATCTTAGGAACTCGCTTCAAATTTTGCACCCAAAGTCGATACGGCAACAGAAATCTTTTGCGGATTTTTGTAAGAACTCGTAAGTAACTAGATATTGTATTTATTTATAAAGGAAATAATAATAATCCTGTCTCTCTATGCAAGCATTCAAATCAAACCATGCGGGCTTGGAAAATCTGACACAGCTTCCTATTTTGGTACCCCTTATGTTGCTGTTCAATCTGGAAAGCATTCATCATTGAAAGGGTATGCTAACGAATCGGACTTTGAACAACTTTTGACTCAGCCAGAGTTCTACTCCATAACAAAACACACTTTTGACCACGTTGGTTGAGCCAGTGGTTGTCTTCATTCTTGATTTAGCGGGATAGGTTCTCCCTCATGACCATTGTGGAACTCATCTAGATTGTCAAGGAATTCAAATTCATTTTTAATATAAACTCTTTGTCAAAATACAATATCTACCAAGACTTAGAGAATTAATTATCTGCTTTACGACTTATATTTAATGTAGGAAAATAATCTTCTTTTTGAGAAAGAAAATTTTAATTTCGCTGGAAAGATCTGTGCCTCGATTTTTTCAAGTCTGATAATTGATCAGTTTCCAACGGTGGTTGAGTATATCAATCCAGACGGCAAGACGGAACTCAATGCTTGTCAACTCTTATCGAAGGATCAAAAATGGTTAGCCTCTCATGTGCGTGCCAGCCAATATTACACGCAAATTTTGAAATTTGAGGACCCCGGGTGTTGTTCATTGAAAAAGGAGATCTTACTTCCATGTTATTCCCTGTCGATTTTTCCTCCACCTATTCTAATCTGCTAGTCTTGGCTTGAAAGCTTGAAAGATGTCAGCATTACTCATCCCAATTTTATAAACCAAATGCCTATTTACACTTTCGCGAGTTAGACTTATTCGCACTGCCGCCAAATGCAAAGCCGAGTTAATGGCTGTAATTGCGGTAGAAGAGAACGCGGGCATTGCTGAATGGTTCGATGAGGAAAAAATAAGTAAAACAGATTCTTTTTTTCTTTCTCTGTTTACATAACATAAGAATTTTACAAATTCCACTACATAATATAAAATTTAATAAAATAAGTAAAACAGATAGGGACTCAAAGAAGATGAGGATGACAGAACGTTATTGCAATCTTTTCATTGAACCCCTTTGACAAGATTTAATTAAAATATCGTAATATGACATACAAAATAAAAATTTCAATAAAATATCATAACAAAATGTGTAATCCGCAAATAAAAGTTGTCAAACAACAAACAAAAGTAGAAACAAAACAAAAACATATTTAAGAGAATTTATCCAAAGCATTATTAACAAAAAATGTTTCACAGGTTTTAAAGATTTCTTTTTTTGCTAACAACTTAAATGAACTTAACGAACTCACCGTACCTTTGAACCCTTTTTGAGAAATATTCCATACTTTTGGACCTCGATTTAAAATGCTGTATTCTGAATATTTATTTAATATCCTTGGCAGTTTATGTGTGTTCAACATATTCGCTCTAAAATTATAGTTATCATTTTTATTTAACTCAAACTTATTATTAAAGCTTATAGGAGAGATATTGTGATTGTAACGATACATGAAAGTTAAATGCTGGCAGATATTTCAAATACATTCATCATTTTCATATCTTTTATCAAGGGGTTAGCGTGTTATTCTCGCCTATTTTTAAAGTAAATGATTCTACAGGCATGTTTCAGAAAACTATAAGTTTCTTAAGCTTTGCTGTTTGAGTACTTGCCCATAAAATGTTTGCATAGCTGATGAGGCTGTGAACTAGCCCAAAGTAGATTAATTTAAGACTATTTGCATTGATGTACGAGCGAACTCGATACATTAAACCTATGATTTTGGTAATTTTTGACTGGATATATATTATATGAGGAAGCCAGGATAATTTTTCATCAACAACGATTCCCAAAAATCATATATTAGATTGCTTTTTAATTAATTTATCATTTATAAATAGGTTCGACAACTTGAGAGTAAGATTTTCTTCTTGTGTTTTTTTATGAAAAAGTATATAGTTTGTTTTCTCGGCATTAAGTGAGAGTTTGTAAGCCTTAAATTAGTTATTTACTTTATTTAGTTCAATATTCATGTCCGCATATAATTTCTTGATATCGTTGTTGGTAAGAAATAAATTCGTGTCATCAGCAATTATGACTGAATTAAGTTTTAAGGATGCATTACAGAAGTTATTTATATAAATTAAAAAAAGAAGTGGACTAAGAATTGATCCTTGCGAAACTCCACATATGACATTTAACACTCCAGATTGGGCATTATTTACATATTGTTTTCTGTTTGTAAGATAGCTTTTAATCCAATAATAAGTTTTATTAATTATTCCGTAATGTCTTACTTTATCTAAGAGAATACAGTGGTCCACTATATCAAACGCTTTTGATAAATCAAGAAATACTCCTAAAAGTAAATCTATTATTTTCAAAACCATTAGTTATTTGATTTACTATTTCAATGATTGCATACTCAGTAGAGAGATTTTTTTGAAAACCAAACTGATTTAGGTAAAAAAAAATTGTTTTTAATGAAGTAATTATAGATTCTATTACAAAACTACACGTTCGAATAGTTTTGAAAATACAGAAAGTACTGATATAGGTCTGTAGTTTGTAATGTCAGAATGATCATTACATTTGTACAATTGCTAATTACATCCTAAGTACATCCGGTAATATCCCAGAATTTAAAGAAAGCTTTAGTATATGTATTAGAGGTCTTTTAAGACTGTTTGTTTGCAATAACTATATTACTTTAGATATCTCTACTTTAGATATATTAGATATCTCATCAAATCCTGGAGTCTTTTTTTTTTTAACGAGGAAAAAGCTGCCTCAAATCCCTCATAGGTTAATTCATAATCAAGCATGATAACATTATTCGTTGGTTTAAGGAAGATTTTAAATGATACAGATTTCTTTTACAAATTTACATTTGTTAATTTGATGATGGACCATATTTTTTTGCAATCAAATTTGCATTTGTTAATTTGATTAATGTAATATTTTAATGATGTAATATTTTTTGTAATAATGATGTAATTTTTTTTTTTTGCATTTTTAATGAGATCTTGGTAAAAATATTTATAATTTTTGTAATTTTTTTCATTATCATTGTTTTTATTTTTCAGAAATTTATTGTAAAAGTTTTTGCTTTTTTTTTTTTGAGCACTTTAAATAACGATTTATCTATCCACGGATTAGCAATTGCTTTTGACTTAATTCTTATAATCTCTTGAGGACAGGTTTCATTAAAGTACTCCAAAAATGTACTTAAAAAAGCATTGTAAGCTTCATTCGTATCTTGACATTTATATACGCTGTTCCATGTTTCTTGTTTTAGTCTATTTGTTAGTGTTACTCATTTTTAAATTTTGTTTTTTCAAATGTATGATTTTTGAATGACAATCAGTCATAGCTTTTAGATTTTTTGTGTTTATGAATACCGGGAAATGATCACTAATATCTGTCATAAATATACCGGTTTCAAATGTCGTTTCTAAATAATTATAAATAAAAATATTGTCTATTGCTGTTGCCGAGGATTTTGTTACTCGCGTTCGTTGACAATAGTTGACAAGACATTAAATTTAAAAAGCATATCAAAAAAGATTTTAATTTTGGAAATTTTGTGTTAGAAAGAGCATTAAGATTTATTAATAGTAATATATAATGTTTTCTTTTCTTTATTTATTTTTATAATCGTATTTTTGATAAAAGTTTCGAAGGTTTTTATTTTTCCACTCGGTGGACGATAGGTCTTAAAAAAAATACATATTAAGTAAATTTTTTTCTGTTCATTTTCTTTTTTATCAAGAACCAAATCAAAAGAAATCAAATTTAATTGACAAACTGAAAAATTGATTTATATATAAAAAAAAATTTATATAAAATGAAAATGC